GAGGAAGCAGGGCTACAATGGGCAATACCACTGACCAGTGTGCCATTTCATGGTTTAGTCACCCCTACTATGTGCATGGCACTGGTTGGATGCTGGGACCCTTCGGAGAGAGACCCAGTTTTTAATTTTGTGGAATTTATAGTCACTTCAGAAAAGACAAAGAGGAAGGTGAGTACAGTGAGGAAACCAGCACAGTGCTGGAATAAGAATTGTAGAGGTGTGGTGGCCATGGGATAGAGCAGTCTGGGAAGGCTTCCTGGAGGAGGTGGCACTGAGCTGAGGCCCAAAGAACCACAGAGAACCAGCTGTGGGAGGGCATAGGGAAAGAGACTGGAGCATTTCAGGAGCAGAAAGGCAGCCTCAACAGCTTTAGAGTGAGAAGGCCTGGTGGCTCTCAGCACAGTGGGGCAAGAAGGGTGAGGCAAGCAGGGTGCAGGGAGGTGCATGGATTCAGGGAATATTTGGAACTAGCAGGATTGAATGTGAGGTGTAAGAAAGTAGGGAGTCAAGGATGATCTTTCATATCAAGGACAAAGCTGCATACAGAAGCCTGGGGGAGGCACAGGTTTCTGGTGGTGGGGTATTGGAAAGTGGAGGTTCCTTTTTTCCTTTAGACTTTAAAAAAATTAACTTTTATTTAATTTTTTAAAATTTATTGATTTTATTCTTTAGAGAGAGAGAAGGAGAAGGGGAGAGAGAGAGAGAGAAACATAGCTTTGTTGTTCCACTTATTTATGCAGTCATCTGTTGTTTCTTGTATCTGTGCTCTGACAGGGGACTGAACCTGTAAGACAGGGGCGTATTGGGACATGACTCTAACCAACTGAGCTGCTGGCCAGGGCCTACATTTTTTTCATTTTTCATTTTGAAATTCCAAACTTGCAAAAATAGTACAAAGAACTCCCATTTGCATTTCACCCAGCTTCCCCAAATGTTAACATCTTAAGCAGCCACAGGACAATGAGCAAACCCAGGCCACTACTAACTCATCTACCGACCTCACTCACATATGTCAGTTGCCCTACTAAGACCTCTGTCTGGACCAGGGTCTGCCCCAGGATCACACACTGTGTCTTGTCATCCTATCCACTTACTTCCATCCAGTCTGTGTCAGTTTCTCAGTCTTGCCTCATCTTTCGTGAGGCATCTTTCTCACCTTACACTTCCACTGTCACTGGAAGTGTAAAGGCCGGTTATTTTGTAGAATCTCACATGATTTGGGCTTGCCTGGGATTTCTTCAGGACTAGATTAGGTTGTGCATTTCTGGCAGGATTATCACGGGGGAAATGGAGAGTCTTTTGGTCCTTGTGGAAGTTGAGATGCCTCTGGAACAGGATGTGGGGATGTCAAAGCAGTGCTGGAGACAAGAAGAGAGCAGAGGGAGAGCTATAAACTCAGGTGTCCTCAGAGCAAGAAACGCTTTCGCAGCCCTGGCCCTGGATGACACTCCAGGGAGAGGGTGTGTAGAGAGAGGTGGCCCAGGACTGCGTGCTGGGCATCCCACACGGGCAGTCTCGGGGAAGAGACGTGGTTGATGAAGTGGGAGAGACCCTGGTGAGTGAGGAGCCTCAAGAGCCAGGGGGAAGGAAAGAGGCATGAAAGACAGAGGATGGTCTTGGCCTTCGGGAACTTGGAGGCCCCCGAGGCCTCGGCCACCTGGACATAAGGGTTTCACTGGAGCAGTGGGATGGAAACCTGGCAGGAGAGGACCAAAGGACTGAGCAAGGTAAAGGGGAGAGGGAGAGTGTGGACAATACTGGTGAAATTTTGCAAATGCTCAGGAAACAGAGAAATGGATGGGAGCTGAGGGGAGATGGGAGTCCAGGGAAGCTCATTTAAGGAAGGGAATCAGGGAATGGTCTGTATGCTGATAGGAATAGTCCAGTGAAATTGAAAAGGGGTGATCCAAGACGCAGGGCAGAGCTGCGGAGGGTGAGCAGAACAGGCTTCTGGGAGTGTTTTAAGGGTCTGGGTGTTGCACTGGGCCTTGACCCGAGCTGGGCAAAGAGAAAAGGGGCTCAACGCACTGAGGGAAGAATTGTGTCAGTGGGGATACTGGGTGTAGGAGTCAAGTCCAGATGAAGGGATGTTCTGAATGGAGATGTAAAAGGTCACATCCTTATTGGTGGTGACTTGCAGGATGGGTGGCTGAGGTGGGGAGAAGAGAAGGGCGAGGACCTGAGAGGCCAGGGAGCAACCAAGGTATGTGAGATGCTGATAGAATAGGGGGAGGAGGAGAGCTCTCCATGAATGGAACAGGAGGATAACTGGGCCAGCTACAAAGGGGGTGCCTGGGCGGGGTGGGGAGTAGGCTGGCTAGTGCCTTAAGGAAGAAGTCCACAGGGAGGGAGCCCTATGGGATTGTCCCAATATCTCTGTTCCAGAATGAGGTTTTTGGGGAGGGGCTGGGGCATCCCTTCCTTCTGAGCATCCTCCCCAACAACCTGCCCCCCCCCACCATGGGAGAGGCTGGGCTGTGATACTGCACATATCTGCCTGGTAGTACCTGATGCATGAACACACATCACACAAGCTCCCATCAGCATATGGCACTGAGCTATCAACCAGTTCCGATTGTTTTGCTTCCTTCACTTGTCTCCATTCGTTCTGGGCTCTGTCATCCTTTGCGTGGATAGTGCTTCCTTTATGAAGCCTCCCTAGATTTCCTCCAACATCTCCTGAAATGTCTCTGACTGGAACCTCTCTCACTGCATCTGCCTCTTCATATTATGATTGCCTGGTTATTGCCTGCTGCCCCAAGAAGCTGCGATTTCTCCAGGGTGGTCCTGCTGACCTGCAAAGGGCCTGACAGAGCCAGCGACTTTGGGGCCTTCCGCAGTTCCCACTTCGTCCATTAGATGGCACAAAATGCATGTAGCTGGGTCCACGGATTGTCAGGGGCACCTTTGGGTCTATTTTCCATCTGCAGCCTGTGAACAGGACCTTTCCAGAAGATCCTTTACTTTCTTCCCAAACTGGAAAACTGAGGCCCAAAGAAGGAGAGGAACTGCCTGAGGCCGCATAACAAATTAACCTTAGATTTTGGGCTCCCAGCCCCTGGCTCAGGCTGTGTGGAGGGGGCTGCTCCCACATCCTGCTCTAGTAGATCCAGGCCTCCCCTGCAGCCTCAGCTGGACCACGTCTGGCTGAGCTGAGACCCCCATGGTGAGCTGGCAGGCTGAGAGTTGGGCCTCTGCCTAGAGCCTGTGGCTACATGCTGGTTGAGGGGCTGTCCGGCTCAATCTCCAGGCAGATATTGGCCCCTGTCCCAGGCTATCTCCTGAAACATCTTTCCAGGGAGTTGGAAGCAGAGGGGCGTCACCCTTCTGAGGGACCAGGATATAATCACCATCATGGCAGTCCCTGCGCAAGCACCAATTTATACAGTCCGTTACACCCAAGGTGACTGGTCCCTGGCCCTGGAAGGAGACGGAGATCCAGAGAGGGAGGAAGGGCTTTGGCCAAAGTTATTCAGTGGAGTAAGAGACAGGTGGTCTGAGGTTTGTCACTGGCCTCCCTGAGTAACGCCTTGTGCAATTCCAGGTCAGAGCGCCCCCTGGGAGGAGCCCTGTGTATACCAGGGGGAGGTGGGGGCAGGGAGACAAGGTTCAAGTTCCTGGGTCCCTCTCATGCTTACTCAAGGGGCCCGACCTCTTTACCTTCCAGGGATGAGATGGGGAGGAGAAGTGGGGTCCAAGTACCAACCCCAAGGGCCCCAAAGCAAAAAAGAATCCCAGGAAAAGGCAGGGTTGATGGGGCCTGTTTTCCACCTGCTGTGTTGCCTGGGGCTAGTTCCTTCCCTCTCTGAACTACCAGTCTGAGACCACAATCTGAAGGCTTGGGCTGGTTCATCAGGGAGGCTTACTTTGCAGGAGTTTCTAGAATTCTGGGAGTTCCAACTCTGGCTCAAGGGGTAAAACTTCTTTGCTCCCAGGGCCTCAGATTCTGAGTGTAGGGGCCTGGGGTGGGGTGGAGTGGCAGCTGTTGGGGGACACAGACAAGAACTACTATAGGACAGGGGGCATGCAATAGCCCCCTCACTTGCCTCAATTCAGCCCTTTAGTCTCGTCTCCTCCATGTCCCTCTCTGTGGTTTTCTTGCCCCCTGGATCTGAGCTCAGCGTGGGGGGGTGGGGATGTTAGCGCCCCAGCTTCACCCTCACTGTGGAGGGATTGTACGTATAGGGCCTATGGGGCAGGGGGAGATTCTGGGAAGAACTCACCACTCCTTGAGTAACACCCTGAGCCCTGGGTCTCAGGAAGGGATTGAATGGCTGAGAGAGGCAGAACAATGGGAGGGTACCCTGCCCAGTGAGCTAGGGTGGGGCCCGGAGACCAGACATTTATCTCTTGCCCATCTCAGATCTGTGAAGTGTGGCAAACCTCAAGCCTCCAACCAAAACATGGAGCTCCCTCAGCTGGAATGGCCAGCTCCTCCCGTGTCACCTCTGTACCTCCCTGTACCCCCCTCCCCACACACACGGAAGCTGGGGAGCCACCCTAAACACCCTGTAGGGAAGTTGGGGAGCCAACCCAAGGCCTCAAAGGGCTGGACCTTGCTGGTATCAGAGACCGGGGCTTAGAGTCAGTTTGTGTGTGGGGGTGGGGGTTGGGGGGGTGTCTCTGTCACAGCACTGGAGGGGCAGAGAGCAAAGGAGAGCCCAACCAGACCCTCACCCAGCCCTGTAACCTCTGATCTCCGACTCCTGACCTCTCTTCCAGGTTATCTTCCCCCTGACATTTTGCTAGAGCCTGGAGACTTGGGTTTGTGGATATTTCTGTGTAAACTACCCACACCGCAGCTGGGAGTCTCCCCAATGGGGAACCCAGGAACCTGGGCACCAGCCAATCAGAGGCGTCAACCAGGCTGGTCAGGATGAAGAGAGTCAGTGCAGGTGCAAAGCGGGCTCTCACCCTTCCCTCCTCCTCCGTCTTCCTGGCCCTGGACGGGGCGGAGCCATTGCCTTATAAGTGGCAGGGCTGGCGGCAAGAGAGCAAACTTCAACCAGCGGTGGGACCAGAGGGTAGCTCCACAGGCAGCGTGGTGCCCTCGGTCCCCCAGCATGAGCCCCTCAGCCTGGGCCATCTGCTGCCTTTTTGGGGTCCTCCTGCTTCAAGGGAGCAGATCCAGTCCCGGCCCCAGCGTGCCCCGCCTGCGGCTCTCCTACCGAGGTAGGGACTATGTGCCCTGTTCCTTTGCTTGTCCGCGGGAATCCGGGTTCCTGCAGCACCCTCAGCTGTGGGGGCCCCCACCACCTGGGCAGTCTGTTTTGCCAGCTGGAGGGATGCAGTCATTCCCTGCACAGCCCATGGGAGGGATTTCCCCATCATTCTCAGGGGATGGTGTTCCTCTGGCTGCTGCCAGAGGCACGCACTGGGGAGGAGGCAAGGGACAGTTCCTGGAGGCATGGCCAGGGTGGAGGTGGCAGAGACAGAGACACACAGAGGAAGACCTGACGGACTGTTGAGAAAAGGAGAGAGACCAATGGAGATTCTGAGCCTCCTCAGCAGAGATGGGCAGAGAGATGGGGATGGGCAGACGGGGCAGGTCTGAAGGAGCGGTCTGCACTCAGGGAGGGCTCCTTGCCCAGGGCAGATTTGGGGAGCAGGATCCCGCCCCCCACCTCCTCACTCTGCAATGGGGCCCCGCAGCCTGTCCCACAGCCTTCTCCTCCCACACACCTGCCTCTTTGCAGCCCACTTCCCAATGCTGGCCTTACTTCTCCCTCTCCATCCCAGCCCAGGAGTTCCTCCGTAGATCTAACCTGATGTGTTGTGCTGCAGCGGGCACAGGCCTGCTCTAAATCTGTAGAGACAGGACACAGGAAAAGTCCCTGAGACAGGCTTTCCACAGATTCTTCTTAGGGAGCCCAGAGGGGTGATCACCTTTCCCTGGGAACCCTAGTGTAAGGGGGAGACCCAGGGTCTGGGGAGTATGAAGGGGGAGACAGGGCTCCACTCTGGAGAGTCTGAAAATGGGATCTGGCACGGGGGAGAATGTAGTCCTGCCCTTGGAGCTCTGGTTTTGGAGGGAACTCAGGCCATAAGAAAAAGCCTAAATAGGGCAAATCCCTTCTAAAGCACTATCAGTCATGGAGGACTTCCTGGAAGAGACTGTTGATGAATTTCAAGATGGAGTGGGTGCTGAGCCGAGGATGACCCCTTGGGCAGGCACAGGATACTTGGACTTCCCAAGGGTGGCCAAGGCCCCTTCCCACCCTTATGGCTATCTGACCCCTTACCTACCCAGCACCCCCCAACTCCCTAGCCCGACCAAGGATTTATTTCAGGATCCTGACTCCTACAACCAGCGCCCCCAGACAGCCTCCATCCATCCCTAGGGCTTGGGTGGTGAGGGTCTACGGGGGAGAAAATTCCCTTTAGCCACATTCTTGGACCAGAGCCAGGAGCTTGGCCTGGACATACCTAGCCTCCCTCATACCCAGGCCTTTTCCAGGTGTTCGCTCTGCAGGGAACCCTCTCCCCTGCCTGCCTACCTACACACTACTCAGACTCAGCCACCCTTCCCCAGCTTGCTGCCATAAATCCTGCCAGGGGAGCCATCTTCCCTGGGGGTTGCGTAGAACACAGATGGGCCACTGGGAGATGTGAACTGAAAGACCGAGGGCTAAGGAATTGGGGGATTAGAGTTGGCCCCTGGGTGGGCCATTCTGGGTGGGGGTTCAGAACCCCTATCCCCCTCCCCCAGGAGCCATTTCCCAGAAGCCCTCTAGCAGCCCTGTGAATGGAAACACTTTCTAGATGTGTGTGTGGGGTGAATGCACAGCTGGGACCCCCCACTTCTACACCTTGGCTGGGGGGCCCTAACCCCCTCCCTCACTCCCTCGCAGACCTCCTGTCTGCCAACCGCTCTTCCATCTTTCTGGGTCCCCGGGGCTCCCTGGACCTTCGGACTATGTACCTGGATGAGTACCGAGACCACCTCTTTCTGGGGGGTCGGGATGCCATCTACTCTCTGCAGCTGGACCGAGCATGGACAGACCCCAGGGAGGTGAGCTGGGATAACTGGAGAGAGGGTCGGTCTGTCTGAGAGCTGGGCAACTCTGGGTGGGGGTCTGGATGGAAAAACTGAGGCTGTGAGGTCAGGGGTCAGCCAGACTGTGTTTCAGGTCCTGTGGCCGCCGCAGCCAGGACAGAGGGAGGAGTGTGTTCAAAAGGGAAGAGATCCTTTGGTGAGTGCTCTCAGGAGTGACGGTCCCCAACCCTGCCCAGCACCCCAGGACAGCCTGTGGCTGGCCATTCCTCCAGCTGCCTGTACTGGGCTCATTCGAAGCAGACACGGAGGGCTCTTGAAGGTCCGTGAGGAATGTCACCCTAAACCCCCAGAGCTGACCAGCCAGGCAGGGCTGAGCCTCAGAACCCGAGGAGACGGTGAGCAACCCCTCACCCCTGCCCCTGTCCCCGCCAGATGGAGTGTGCCAACTTCGTGCGGGTGCTGCAGCCTCACAACCGAACCCACCTGCTGGCCTGTGGCACTGGGGCCTTCCATCCCACTTGCACCCTCATCGTGGTTGGGCACCGTGGGGAGGTGAGACTGGGGCAGGCCTCAGAATGGACTGGGAAGCAGTGACATTTCCTCCAGGCTGCCTGAACACTCCCCATTGAGCCTGGGTCAGGGCAGAGGTTTCAGGGGCCTGAAAGGCGCCTTTGTGCCAGAGAGCTGACCCCACTGGCCTGGCTCTGAGTCAAGAGTGCCTTCACCCACCCCACTCTCCAGCTGCACGCAAGGGCCACTGCCTGTTGGGGGGTGCTGGCACTACTTTCCCAGGTGACACCGTCCCTCCCTCTCCCCCAGCATGTGCTCCACCTGGAGCCCAGCAGTGTTGAAAGTGGGCGGGGGCGGTGCCCTCATGAGCCCAGCCGTCCTTTCGCCAGCACCTATGTAGGTGGGTGATGCCCAGGTGTGGGTGGGCACAGGGAGGGTGGGAGCGGGCTGATGCCATGGGGGAAGGATGGTGGCTGGGCCCTCCTCCCCTAACTCTGCTTCCCAGGTGGGGAGCTGTACACCGGCCTCACTGCCGACTTCCTGGGGCGCGAGGCCATGATCTTCCGGAGTGGGGGTCCCCGGCCGGCCTTGCGTTCTGACTCTGACCAGAACCTCCTGCACGGTGAGACCAGGGGCCTGCTGAGGGTGAGGCTGGCTGGGGCCTGCATGCAATGGCTGGAGGCAGGAGGCAGGAGGGGCAGCCCATTCCCTCGCCACCCCCTGGGACTCCAGCCTCCAGTGGGGGACCCCGTACCTCTTCCCCATCCCCGTTGTGTTCAGCCACCTGTCCCCCCTGGAAGGCTCCTCCACCAGCTCCATCCTATCACTTCCCCCCACCCAGATCCCCGGTTTGTGATGGCCGCCCGGATCGCTGACAACACTGACCAGAATGATGACAAGGTGTACTTCTTCTTCTCGGAGACTGTCCCTTCACCAGACGGTGGCCCAGGCCATGTCATTGTCAGCCGAGTGGGCCGTGTCTGCGTGGTGAGAGCTGGGAAGGGGCAGTGAGGGGCTTCCGTCCTTGTTGTGCTCCTCTCCCGCAACCCATCCCCGCCCTCAGCAGCAGGGAAGAGGAGGTGAGGGTGCAGAGCCAATGTCCATGCCTCTCCACCAACGGGTGAGGGTGGGGGTGCCAGAGGAGGGGCCTGCCTGTCCTCTGGGACCCAAGGCTGTCCCTGGTCCCTCAACCCCCAGAATGACGCTGGCGGCCAGAGGGTGCTGGTGAACAAATGGAGCACTTTTCTCAAGGCCAGGCTGGTTTGCTCGGTGCCTGGTCCCGGTGGTGTTGAGACCCACTTTGACCAGCTGGGTAAGCGCAGGGTCAAGGGCAGGTGTGGGAGCGGGAGTCAGGAGGGCTTTGGGCCAGTGAGTGGGGGACATTGGCAGTGGCCTTCTGTCTCCCAGAGGACGTGTTCCTGCTGTGGCCCAAGGCAGGGAAGAATCTCGAGGTGTACGCGCTTTTCAGCACGGTCAGGTGGGCACACTGGCCTCCCCTCTCCCTGACCCAGGCCAGGCCTCTGGACCACAGGTCCCTCTATTGAGCCTCTGCCCTCAAACCCCAGCCTGGCCCTGGGTCCCTATCTCTGTCCTGACTCGGTGACTCTGTGGCTATGTTTTCTGTCTCCCTCTCTTTACCATTGCCTGGGTGTCTTTGTTTTCTGTTTCTGCTGACAGCAGGCACTGTCGCCCTCTGCCCTGCCCAAAGAGCCAGCCCACCCCCGTCCCACCTGTGCTGGCCACTGGGCCTGACTGTCCTCTCTGCCCTCTGCAGTGCTGTGTTCCAGGGTTTTGCAGTTTGCTTGTATCACATGGCAGACATCTGGGAGGTCTTCAAGGGGCCCTTTGCCCACCAAGATGGTCCCCAGCACCAGTGGGGGCCCTATGGGGGCAAGGTGCCCTTCCCCCGCCCTGGCGTGGTGAGTATGTGACTCGGCCAAGGAGGACGGTGGAGCAGATGCCAGGAGGGCCGTGCGTTGGGACATCATTGTGTCTGCTGCGTGCAGCTCCACAGCAGCTCTGAGCTGGGGGTCAGGGTGCAGCGAGGCACTGCACCGAGCTCTGACCACACTGAGGAGCCTCTCACACAGTGAGAGCAGTCCCTCTGAGGCTGGCATGCCCAGATGGTGGGGCGTGGAAACAGGCCGGGGCGGGGAATGTGCGACCCCAGAGTTCCAGGTGCTTCCTCTGCCGCTGCCACAGTGCCCCAGCAAGATGACCGCGCAGCCCGGACGGCCCTTCGGCAGCACCAAGGACTACCCAGATGAGGTGCTGCAGTTTGCCCGAGCCCACCCACTCATGTTTCAGTCTGTGCGGCCTCGGCAGGGCCGCCCTGTCCTCGTCAAAACCCACCTGGCCCAGCAGCTGCGCCAGATCGTGGTGGACCGTGTGGAGGCAGAGGACGGGACCTATGACGTCATCTTCCTGGGGACCGGTGGGTGGGCTGAGTAAGGTGGCTGGAATGGGGAGGTGTGCTCGTCCCCAGGCTGCCCTTTCCTCTCCTATTGACCCCTTCTTCCCTGCCTCAGACTCAGGTTCAGTGCTCAAGGTCATGGCCCTTCAATCTTCAGGCTCGGCTGAGCCTGAGGAGGTAGTTCTGGAGGAGCTCCAGGTGTTTAAGGTGAGTGAGGAGGGGGGCTGATGGGAGGGGTCCCCTCAAGCCTCACCCCTGGGTCTAGCCCTGGCTATAGGGAGGCAGGAGCAAAGCACAAGAGCAAAGACAGGAGGGGCCTGTCTTTCCCAAACTTGCAGCCAGTGGGGGATGAAAGTGACCACATTCCCCGCTGCAGAGGGCTTGCTGATATCTCTAAATGACTGAGGGGCCTTCAGGGAAGTCTGTGAGCTGAAAGTTGGGGGGACCCAGAGGGGATGGCCAAGGCGTGCACCCCCTGGACAAGGGCCTGATAGGCACAACTCCCTCTGAGGGGGTGGCTGAGAGCCCAAGTGCCCAAGGGGTTCTAAGGGCCCCTCTATAGAGTCAGACAGGTGATGTGTCTGGGGGACTGTCACACCTCTCAACCTGGGATGGGCGATTCGTGACAGCTGCTTCATTGCTGGGGAACAGGGCTGTGTGTGGGGGACACCGGAGATTTGTGCTTCTAGCCAAGCTTCCTGCTTGGAGGCCAGCCAGGGTAAGGGGACCTTTCTTGTAACCTGACCTCTGGGAAAGACTGTCCAGCCATAGTTGCACTGACCCAGGCTGGGAGCTAGGTGGCCCCCACTGGGAGATTAAAGGAGGCTGAAAGCAGGGGGTGCAGTGGAGACCTTTCCAACACCCCTCTCCTGATACCCTGCTCCTTCCCAGGTGCCAACAGCCATCACTGAGATGGAGATCTCCGTGAAAAGGGTAAGAGCAGCCGCACCCTCTTCATGCCCCCTCCCTCCCTCCCCTGGCTCGAAGCCTCCTGAGCACTGCCTGTGTCTGCTGGAAAGCCCCTGCAGCAGTGCTGGGCTGCCTGACTAGACCCTGCAAAGAGGGCTGAGAGTGCAGCTGGGAGCTGAGGTTCCCGTGCGTGAAACTGGTGGGCAGTGGGAAGGCCTGAGTAAGTGAGGTTGTATTCAGATGTGGGAAGATCCACGACAGGCTTGTTCCTTAGGGGAGGCAACAAAGTGCTGGAGAACAAAATCCACATTTGAAATCAAACAAGGGAGTCACTTCTTAGAGGTCTGCTGTGTCCTTTTGAAAGGGGCAAATACCATCTTGCCAAGTTTATCTGCCTCAGTTTATCTTTGGGTAAATCCTGACTTTGGTACTGGGATTGCTTAAAGCAGAGTGCACCTCTAAGGTCAGGGGCAAGTCAGGATAAAGGCCATTGGGGTGCAAGGCAACGGTCAGAAGCAGGGTGAGCCTGGGGCGAGCCCAAGCCCCTCAGAGAAAAGTCCCAGGCCTGCCCCATCCCCTACATGTCCTAGCACAGGATCTGGTGTACAGCCTGTGGGCGGTTAACATTTTGTTTCTGTGAGTGCACCCAGGAGGCTCTGGAAGACTGCTTAAAAGTGTCAGGGATCTCAGAAAACCCAAGGAGGCTGAGTGCCTGGCTGCTTCTGGAGAAGCCCAGGCTCACTGTGGGCTCTACCTGGGTCCCTCTCCAGCAAATGCTGTATGTGGGCTCGAGGCTGGGTGTGGCCCGGCTGCAGCTGCACCAGTGCGAGACCTACGGCAGTGCCTGTGCGGAGTGCTGCCTGGCCCGGGACCCGTACTGTGCCTGGGATGGCGCTTCCTGTACCCGCTACCGGCCTGGCACCAGCAAGCGACGGTTTCGCCGGCAGGACATCCGTCATGGCAACCCTGCCCTGCAGTGCCTGGGCCAGAGCCAGGAAGGTGAGTGGCAGCCACTGGGCACCGGCTGCGAGGTTCCCAGTCACCCCATGGCCTGGGCTCAACCCTTTCGAGGTGAGGCCTCAGAATTGTCCTGTTGTGAACTTGTCCTCAGTTTCCCTATCTGTGTGGCTTCTGTCAGTGTATAGGTGTACGGTCTTTGGACAGAGTGACTTGCTTAGGGACTGATGGACACTGAGGTCGCTAAACACTGCCGGGGGCTCCTGGACTGTGGGAGTCAGGGGTCCCACATGTAGTTCCTGAGCTGAGCCCACCTCTGCCCCCCTGCAGAGGAGGCTGCAGGACTCCGGGCGACTGCCACGGTCTATGGCACGGAGCACAACAGCACCTTCCTGGAGTGTCTGCCCAAGTCTCCCCAGGCGACTGTACGTTGGTTCTTGCAGAGGCCGGGGGACCAGGGGCCCGACCAGGTGAGTGAGGACACTGCCTCTAGTTTGTACTGGCCCTAAGGTCATATCCTTCCCTGGACCCTAAGTCCTGAGTCCCAGAAAGGGTCTCTGAGGGGAAGCTGCCAAGTTCAATGGAAGAAAACTGTGCATTAGGCCCCTTGGGTGCCTGGAAGGAGGTGCCCCACTCCTGCTATCTGGGCATGTCCCGGCCAGACGTGCTTGGAACTCCCCCAGTGACAGGTAGCCCACCAACTCCCCAGGGCCTGAGTGGAGCTCTGGGAGGTAGGTGGCAGACACGGAAGAGAAGGAAGGGGGTCTGCGCCCTCAGGGAGCCCCTGTGCCTACACACATGGCCCACCTTTGCAGGGACCTTTTCCCCAGGGGTTCTCAGTATTCCTCTGCCTCAGGCTTGTGTTGCTGGCCAGGGGCCATCACCTCCCAACCCCTCAGTGTCCGGTATCACACTTCCTCCCTGGAGTCCCACTGTATGCCCAGGCCTTCCTACCCTATCTGGAAAGGTCTGTCAGCCCCAGGGATGGCTTCTGTCTGGGGCCTGAAGATGGGCGTGGGTGGGGCAGGGTGAGAAACCATTCTCAAGAGCTCCCACAGGCTGGGGAGGGAGGGAGTGGGTTGATTACAGGAGGGGCTCTCCTTTCTGCTTGGGAACTGGGGGAGGCCAGCCTTGGGCCAGCTGTTGGGCTAGGCACTGAGAGACTCCCCCTGGGGCCAGGGGCAGGGGAAGCAATGAGATGAAATTACACTGCACTCACTGCCCTAGCAGGCCAGCTTCAGCATGCAGACGTGTAGACTAAAGCCCAGACAGCGACTGGGCCAGAGTCAGAACAGCACTCTTACCTCCCACACTGTGACGGGCACTCAGCCCACCCCCAGCTGGGGCTGCGGGCCCCTTGCTGTGGGGGAAGTGAACAATGTAGACCATGTAGAGTGAGGGGAATTCTAGTCCTGGGGCTGGGGTTACAGATCCCCCTGAGTAAAAGCCCATAAATACCCTCTTACCCGCTGTGTTCAGTGGGATGTGTGCCGGGGCTCCCCAAAGCCAAGACAGGTGTCCCAGAGCTGTGGCTAGGGGAGAAACCAGTAAAACTTTTGAAAAGTCCCCTTTGCAGGCCATGTCCTGGGTGATGGGAAAGTGAAGCCCTGCCTGAAATTAGCTTCGTCTCAAGGAGGCTAAGCCTACCAGGCTGCTGGTCCCTTCCTGGGAGGGGGAGAATGGGCAGGGGAAGTGCCTGAGTACTGGGCCCTGAGATGCACATTTGGAAAAGCAGGGTGCAGAGAAGTTGATGGTGTGTGCCTTGCTCCAGCTGCCCCTCATGCCCTCCTGGTATCCGGCAGGTGAAGACAGATGAGCGAATCCAGCAAACGGAGCAGGGGCTGCTGTTCCGCAAGCTCAGCCGCCTGGATGAGGGCACCTACATCTGCACTACGCTGGAGCACGGCTTCTCCCAGACCGTGGCCCGCCTGGCCCTGGAGGTGATTGTGGCTGCACAGCTCAAGAGCCTGCTCCATAGGGAGCAGAGGCCAGGGGAGCCCCCTGCCCGGGGAAGCCTGGCCTCCACCCCACCCAAGGCCTGGTACAAGGACATCCTGCAGCTTATTGGCTTCGCCAACTTGCCCCGGGTAGATGAGTACTGTGAGCGCATGTGGTGCTCCTCTCGGAGCAGGGGCAAACAGGCCAAGGGCAAGAGCTGGGCAGGGCTGGAGCTGGGCAAGAAGGTGAAGAGCCAGGTGCAGGCCGAGCGAAATCGGACACCCCGGGAGGTGGAGGCCACATAGAAGGCGAAGGAGGGGGTGGTTGGGATGGGCCAAGTGGCCCTAGTATCAGCTCCTAGTGTCTCCCACCCACCCAACTAAGGCAGAGGGGGCCAGCAGGCTTGATCACCTCTTAGAGATGGGAGTCTCTGCCTCTAAACCCCTACCAGGCCACTTAAGAAAAGGCTAGGGGCCTGATGCAGGGACCCCATTCCTGTTCCCTGCACCTTTCTGCTCTTAGTTCCAGATGGAGCCAGCACCCTCTGGCCACTGGCGATATCAGTGGGCCTGCTGTGTGTTCTCAGAGGTGGTTCCCAGAGCACATTTCTGGTTGTGCCCAGAGGCAAGAGGACTGGGAAGTTCTTCCCCAGCTGCAGAACAATGGCCATTCTGAGTGACCCTTAGAGTGGGCTTGCGGTTGCCTCCGAGGAGGCAGTGGCACGGGCCCTTAGACAGCCAGAGGAGGGTGGAGTTGCCTCTGAGCTAGCCAGCACCAGTGGAAAAGACCTTCACTGACTGAGCTGGGGAGGGAAAGAGGAAGTTCTGAGAAGGTAGACCCCTTACCCCCACCCACTTTGTGCCCTGATATCTTGGTGGTCACCTGCCACTGTCCACTGCCTGTTCTTCATCTTGGAATCACAGAAGCATAGACTGCTAGAGTTCCCTGCAACCTGGGGGCGAGCTGGGTCTCGGGCCCTATGTCATAAACCAGAGGGGCCTCACAGCCTGACTCCCCTTCCCCAGGCCCCTGAGCTGTCAGGCCACGTTTCCTGGGATGCCTACCCCTCCTGATAGTATCTCCCTTCCCCACCATCGGGGTCTCCATGCTGATGAGCAGGGTAAGGATGGGTTCTAGGAGAATGTCAGCTCCATCTCTGTGGACTAGAGATGGGGAGAGGGGAGCTGGGGAGGAGTGGGCTGTCTTTCCCAGGGCAATGCAAGCACACCCACAGCTTAGGAGGGTGGGAATGTGGCAGCCCTGAGAGCAAGCTGCAGCTGGTGGGCAGGACCCGGGAGGGGTGGGGTAGGGCTACACCCAGGGACACAGAGGATTGAGAGGCATTCGAGATGGGGAGAGGGTGGGAGACCCTAGGCTGGGCTGTGGGGCCCAGAAGCAAGCATGCTTAAAGACTCAAGATGGCATCAATTAGCTCAGGAGCCCCCGGGAAGGCCAGATGTTTTCCATCCTGCAGTTGTTGGTTTTTGCTAAATAAGGGTTGGTTGCAGATGGTTCATGTATGAAGCCTTCTTTTTTATTTTTTTTTTCTTTTAAGTGGAAAAAGTTGCTAAGAACTCTAGGTTGTGCTGGTTGTTGGGGCTGTGGCTCAGGTGGCCAGGACAGAGGCACTCTGTCTGTGAGTGTAGGCAGGTGTATCGCCATCAGTGGTAATGCCTTTCTGAGCTGGGGAGCACAGCAAGGGGGGGAGGACTAAATGAAAAGTTGTTCTCAGCCTCCCTGAGAACATGTTAGTGATGCACAAAACTGACAGGAGGGAGACAGGAGCTTCAGGTTCCAGAGTCCCTCCACTGAAAAACCAAGATGAATAGGAGGGAAAAGTCAATAGAAGGAAAGACAGGGCTTCCTGTCCCACTGAACTCAAACCCAGACTGTGCTGCCTTGGATTCCACCTGGGCCAGCCCCCTCACCCCCAGCTGGAATCTGAAATGGGCCCTCCTTCCACCCTTCGCACAGTCAGTGAGCCAGAAGAGCTGAGATGAACCTGACAACACTTTGGGAAGCTGTGGCCTGGGTTGCTATGGCTGGGCTGTGAGCGGGTAAAAGAGAAGAGGAGGACTGTGGGCAAGGGTGCTGGAGAAGAAGGGAGGGGGTGATAGAGGCCACGGAGGAGGGGCAGAGCGAGTGCGCAGAGCCCCAGGAATGGTGTCAAAGCTGCAGCCAGCTCTGCCCCTCTGCCCAGGGAAGGCAGGAAGAAGCAGCCAGGCCCTCAGGGGTCTGTAGTATGGACTCAGGCATGGCTGGCTCCAGGTAGGGTCTTCGGGGAAGCTGCTCTGGAAGACGGAGGGAGGAGCTCAAAATCCTGAACAGCTAATACCTGCACTTGGAAAATTATGGACAGATTCTACCAACTCCCAACCCCCATGGTACTATGTGTATAACCCCTGGAGATGCCTCTATGTGTGAATTCTATTTTTGTATTTGTATACTGAGATGGGCTTTGTGGATTCTCTGTCTTCAGAACATACTTCCTCTAATTACTATTGTTACTTTGTCATGACCACCCCTGAGCTCCAGTGAGGGTAGCACAGTGGTCTACCGCACAGAACCTACAAGGAAGGGAATGAAGTTAATATTTACATCACATAATTATGTATTGTATCTGCATATTTCTGTACTAAATTGACTGATACCGTCTGTGTGAACTGGAAATGAAGAGCCTTCCCCATCCGTTCCACAAGGGAGAAGGCCTCCCTGGGTGGTATTTTCCAGAAGGGAGGGTGGGCATTAAGGGAAGGAAGGAGTCAGAGGGCATTGTCTATGACGCTGAGGTCGCTTATTAAATTAGGAAGATCCTGTGCCTTGGGCTTCTGAGATTGACTTTCTGGGAACTTCAGGAAGATCTCGAGCCAGAAAAAAACTTGCTGGCAAAGGGCAGCTGGGCACGTAGGCAGCTCTGCTTCTTTTTCACAATAACACTTGACATTTGTGACAGCAGCCCTTGGCCTGGTGCCTGTCTTCATCCCAAACCACATACCAGCGTTTATTAAGGTCACTGCGCTCGGGGGCCAGGCTGTGCTGTGGGGGCTGCGGTTTCTGGGAAGGAGGGGAGGCCCCCATAGTCTGGCCCACTGGGTGTGCTGCAGAAGGCTCCCACTCCTTTGTGACATTATGCTGCTGCCCAAAGAGCGGCCTGCACTGGTGGTGGAGGGAGGTGAGAAAAGGTGGGCCGGACATTGCCCTGCCTCAGCAGAGAGACTAGCCTCTTGCTTGGATGGGCCCCTCAATCCATGTGATAGACTAGGGGGGCTTAATAGGTCAGTCATCAGTCCCATCTTGCAGCCTGGGGCCCCTAGATTTGTCCCCTAGTCTCTGCACAAACACTCAGACCGGACTAGACCTGTAACTCAATCGCCCCACTCCAAGCCACCATCACCACCGACACACGAGTCATGGGCGTGCTCACTTGGCACAGTGCTGGGCTGGGAGGGTTGTTCTAATGTGACCACCACAGCCCCCTTTGTCCCTCACGCGGCTCTTCCTGGGGCACACAACGCCTATGCTCCCACCGTCACTGCGCCCTGCCTTGAAGACCCCTTGGGGATATGCTTCTCCCTGGCCCCCCCTCCTCCCTCCTCCCATCTTCAGCCTTATTTCCTGCCTCAGGGATTTCACTGTATCTTCCTCTGCCAGCTTTTTCCTCTAAGTCTCATACTTCCCCTGGTCTTTGGGTCCCTGTTTTATGATTTCCCAAACACATTTAGAGCTGGAAAGGTCTTTGTTAGAGGCATTAGTCAAGTGTTTTTCAAAATGGTGTCCCGTGGAACAATTATCCTGCAAAAACGGTCCAACAAATCCAGGGATTTCTGCCTCTTTAGCCGCACGGGGCTGTGCACTGCCTGCTTGCCTGCCTTGTGACATCCCCAAGAAGCCCACGATGATCTCTTTTTAATTTGCCTGCCTACTGTGTGCTATACAGTTCTCCAAAACATTTGGTCCCCCCTCCTTTTTCCCCACGGGGCAGCTACCATGTCACGTTTCTACTGTTTTGAAGAGTGTACTTTGGGAAATTGCTGCTGAGATTCTTCCCCTTAAAATGTAAGATTATTGGCCTCTGCCTTCGAAGCCTGTGAACTCTGGAGGGCCTGGCCTCCCACATGAACAGTCACGACTTGGCTTCCCACGGCCTACACCACAATAGGACCTGCCACTCAGGGCCAAGCTGCCAGGCTGCCAGGCTGCTGAGCCTTGGGCCTGGACAGTGCCCTCCACCCCTGACCTGCCTCCGCAGCTCACTGCCTGCTCCCCCTGTGTCTGACATGGCTCTCTGTGGAGGGCCGGGGTTCACCCCACACCTGTGACTGTCCTGCAGTCCACAGACTAGTTTCTGAGAAAGGGTGGGGGGCATGCAGAAGGCAGAGTAACGGAGGGAAACAGCCCTTTTCTCTCTCTCAAAGGGCTTCTGTGCTTCCCTTTCACTTGGCTAAGCCCAGTTCAGGTCCGGACTTAGAATCTCCCAGTTGGAGGAGCGGGTGGGCAGCAGCCATTAGGAGCCTGGCCTGCCCCCTGCCAGGCTGTCCTCTCCAGATGGCAGAGGCCCCAGATGTAGTGAGAGCTGGGTGGACCCTGGAAAACTTGCTTGCATGCTTCTGCTAGCCCAGCAAATTGAAGCTTTTTCAGCCAGCCAAATCTCCTTTTTAGAACTAGGAAATACTCCAATTTCCATCTGAGTTAAGGATCCACCCCAGCCTTACCCAAGTCCTGGTCTGCAGGGGCTCCTGCAAGGAGAAAGTTCAGCACACACTGAGATCAGATCCCCAGGGTTTTCTGAGACTTGGCCCTGGCACAGGGAGAGAATGAATGGGTGGGGCTAGGTTCGGATATAATACCTGATAAGGGCTCGGGGATTGTTGGGCCCCCGCCCTGGCTCCTCTTCCGGACTCACCTACACCCCTGGCACAGATGAGGAGGCCATAGCTGCTGTGGCCCTGTGCCCACTTCCCACTCCGGGCCCCTGCTACCTTTGCCACGGGTATCACTGCTGGGCCCCTGTCCCTTAGAGATTATGTCCTAATGAGGTCTTTCACTTTCCATGTTGTATTTTCATTAAGGAAACTCCTGGTTCTTCAACACAGTCTTAAAAAAAATCATTTTCCACTGAGGATGGGAAACACTGCAGTCTCCAGGGAGGGGGCCCTCAAGAAACGGCTGTCCCCGTCCTCACGCCAGGCCAGGAGCAGCAGCCAGCAGCTTGTACGCAGGACTCTGCTGGTGAGGGCACTCCGGTGACTGACTAATCTGGACTTCTTTCCCCTGAGGAGGAAGATGACTACAGTGTACCCTAATCTATACCAGCAAGGTATGATTCACTGTGATGAGTGGATATCCCATTGGGCAGAGAGAAGACCAGGGCAAGGGGACATCTGTGGGCTGGTGAGGATTCCAAAGTGAAGTGGAGTCCAGGTCTCTTCCATCAAATGGAGGGGACCATGCTAAGGCCACTCAAAGCCCAGACTGTCCTGTTAGGAGGACAAGGGGGACGAGCTCTGCTCTCACAGATAAAGGTATAGTAGAATGACATGGCAGACCAGCAGCTTGCTTTATGGACATGACCTCATCTGTTCAATCTGCTTGCCCACCACCCCCCTCCACCAGCTGATAAGAATCTGGTGCTGTTTCCTGTAGTCCAAGGGTCTCAGACAATTGTGTGAACCGCTGGCCCTACTGGAAAGGACATTGTTCAAGAAAGAAAAAAAATAACACACCAGCACAAAGCCAGGGCAGGACCTATCTAAATGTAAGGGACTGTTTACAAATCCATGATTTCCAAGAGGGAAACACAATGGGGAATTGTTTTTGGTGAGGCTGGAGTCCCCTTCAGAATGCTTCTGGAAGCTGGGGATGGCTTTGATGGCCCAGATATGTCTCAGATGCTCTGAGAGGGATGGATGCCGATGGCGCGATGCCTTCCTGTTTGTCAGGCAGACATACAGGGCAGGATCAAGGCACATGTTTTACCACAGATAAGGGGAGGAGTTCTGGGGCCTTACTCCGTCCATCTGGGCCTCATGCTGTCCCATTGCTCAGGGACCCCAAGGCTGGAGGGAGGTTTGCTAGGGAAAAGGGAGGGCAAGTTTTTTTAATTTCTTGAAAACATCAAGTCTTTGCTTTATGACTTCAAATTTCCACGTTGCTTTTTGGGAAAAAAAAAAAAAAAAAAGATGTACAAGGCACGAGACATTTGCAAATAGCTGACTAACTTCTCTGGAATGGAGCTCCCTGGTTTATGAACCCTTCTCACACCTTGGGGGCCCATGGTGTTGCAACTCACCTTCAGCCAGCCTGGGAACACACAGGGAGCTGCTGCAGTGGCCCTGGGGCTAATGTAGGTGCTGTTTCTCTTAACAGCCTCCCATCCTGCTCACAGACCATTAAAGCTTTTAAACTACCACCCAGCCCTGGTGTTGTCTCGAAATGCCAAGGTTGTAGGTTTGATCCCTGGTTTGGGCACCTACAAGAATCAACCAATGAATGCATAAATGAGTGGAACAACAAATCAATGAGTTTTTCCCTCTCTCTCGCTAAACCAACAAACAAACAACCCATCCCCCAGTGGCAGCAGTGTTAGTGTGTGTGTGTGTGTGTGTGTTTGTGGTAGGAGGGCTGGGCAGAAGAGCAATGGCACCATATCGCCCATACCCCTTGGGACTGGCGGTCCCAGTTTTGGGGTAGGAGGAGGGCAACTGGGGTTGGGAGGGCTGCTTTGGGTATGGAGAGACCATGAAGGCAATCCTGTCTGAGGATCTGACCTGCGATGGAAGTGTCATTAGTAAATCTCATACTAATCTCTAAACCCAACAGGAGCACAACTCATGAATAAACTCAATCAGATGTGTTTAGAACAAATGAAGAGCAGTAAATCCTGTGCATCTCAAAATAGAAGCAAGCTTTTCATTAGCAGTTCTCAACCTTCCAGGTCTAAGGGATTATAATCTTCCTCCTCAACATGCTAACAGTGCCCTCTGGTGTTTGAGAGGAAAACAACAGGCATATGAATACACTGGGTACAAACACACCTGACAAGTCCGCAGATGTCAAACTGCCTATGAATGTGGTGTCCTGAGCCAGACACCATGAGGGGAAGGAAGTTTAATAAGACAAACAGAGCCCTGCCCATAAGGGGCTTCCAATCAATGGGAGAGACGTATCCACAACTGTAGGACCAGATGGAGAATGGACTGTAAGCAGAGTCCAGTGAGAATACCTAGGAATGAAAAAGTGGACCTTATGGTGGGTTCAGAAGGCTGAGGACAGAAGTTAGGGCTCTTCAGACTGTGCACCCCATGCTGAGGGCCCTGTACTCCCGGGTAGCCAGGGCAGAGTGCCCAGGGGTGGGGTGTCCTGGGAGATGCAGCTGTATGGAACCACATCTGTGGAAGGCCTTGGATGCCAATCTCAGCAGGGGCCATCCTAAGTGAAGCGCTAACAGATGTTTTATGACAATTAGCATAAGGGAAAGGGGTGGGTGTGTCAGCAACACAAGTGGACATAGGCAGCCAACCATGCAGACAGAAGGCCTTTGCTGCCGTCCTATGAGGCGCAGGCATCTGAGCTGAGCACTGGCAATGGAATGGAGAAGCAGGCAGACATTTGAAAAACAGTCAAATTGACAAGAAAAAGGGTGGCTGAGCATAAAAGGAAGCAGAAAGAGATTCTGAGGTTTCTGGCCCTAGTTTATGGTTCCTACAAAGGTAAGAATTAGAGAAAGAAGAACAGGTACTTCAGAAAATTTTTATTAACATCTATTTCCTTCCCCAAGTGAACTATTTGTTTTAGGTCTTAAGCTAGAAAACAGTAA